ATGTCATTGAAAAAGTTTCATAATGTCCATTTTTTTTAAATTCATTTTTTTACAAAAAACATCCCGTTTTTTTTTATCAAAATTATCGCGACGATTTGGGTATCTCCTTGTTTTTGAGAGCCACGAATGCGACACAAGTCAGAATATCAGCTGTTCGAGTATGCGTGATTCCGTTGTTGTCTTCCTCTTCTGTTTTTATCAAAATATTGCATCATAAATATGATAATAAAACTTTTTCAATGACATATTCGAATAGAGCGCACTTTTCTACATCTAGTCATATATTTCTGTCTGTCTGAGAACCAGTAGTAAAAATAAAAAACGAACGACAAGTTGAAACTTCTTACTGTCCATATAATTCTGAGTAGGACTGTAGATTCCGTTACGGTCAGCGTTTTGATAAAAAGAAAAGTTAAAAAAAACTTTTTTCCATGAAAATATTTTTAATTTTGCTACGTATCAGTGTTCCATTTTTTAAGCGAAATTTCTCGGTTGAGAACGTGTCGAAAATACTTCGTTAGACCATCTTTAGAATTGTCACCTTTGAGTCGAAACAATAGCTAAAAACAGATTTTTATGAGCACTCTTATTTCTCCATCAGAAGATCTTTGGTGACGTTAGGACTTTAAAGAAATAGTGTATTTTATAGGCAATCGAGTTCTCTATTGACTGATACAATTTATAAACTTTTTAAAGAAATTAAATAGGTTTCAAAATTGAAAATCTGCAGTTGATTTTCAAGTTAAAATGGATTCTAAAGTAAGTCAGCGTGAAAACCTGCATAGTATATTTAAAACTGACACAAGAAAAAAGATGTCAAAGACTTCAATTTTCAATGGGACCGTTATTTGCCAACGTCGTGTTCTTCTTTTAACAAAACAGATCGTATAGTTTAGATCACGCCTGGCGTCCATAGCACTGAAGACGCGATATTGGCTACGATAATTTTTTAAGACAAATGAAATATTTATTTCTTATTGAAAACAGTCTAACTTAATTCGTAAGTATTGAATTCATAAAAGATTTTATTCTTTCTTCTCAATAGCGTAAAGAATTATAAAAAGGAAAGCCAATAGTAGTAGAAAACATTCTTACGTACCCGTAATGGATATTTTACTTCAATATAAGTTATTTCACTTGCTACACGCAGCACAGATAGGATATTTACCAAAGAAATGAGAAGCATTTTTCTAATCAAAATTTTGTGTCGACTCCTCTTGATTTTACTGTTAAAAGAAACGATTTGGTTTTTATTATTATCATTTTCAGATACAAAGACGTTTACATTTGTTTATCTTAACAGGCAAAGTATATTTTTTCGCTAACGTTTATTATATCCATTTCAACGTGATCTTGAATTTTTATCCTACAACAATCGTAATATCTAGTTAATATACTGATCGTTGAAGTAGCAACGATTTTATTGTAAAAATTGTAACAAGAGAAAATGACACAACTTCATTTTTTTTTATGTATATTCGATCTGATCATAGTCGAAGAAAAATTTTTGTTTGTTCACATTGAGACACGTCCATAGATAGTAATAATGAGTGAGATTGTACAGTTAAATAAACAAATCGAGGCCTTATCATGACATATATATTGGTCATTTTTGATGAAAAGAAAAATGCAATCAAATGACGATTTTTGTCAAAAGATATGCCCTTTAGTAAGAACTTGTATAAAATAAAAAGTTCAATTTGTTTTAACCTAATGAACGATTTTTACTTTGTTGTTTACAAATGAGATTAAATCAACATTTCGTGAAATCGAATAATAGTTTCTTTCACATTTTTTTTCCTGGATTTATCAGCAGAAATACTCGAAGAAAATTCTCTTTTCTTTGCTAGATATAGTATTCTGAGTAAGAGATGTTGAATACTTTCCATGCTGAAATACTCTTCTTTTCATCATCTACATTGTATTGATAATCTTTGCTACAATAATCTGATGAATTCTATTAGGTAACGGAAACATATTTAGGAGAATTTTCAAAATTTTTCTGGCAAACCTATGCAACCTAAAGTTCCTTTTTGGAGTATAGCTAGTCGATATCGAGGTTTTTCATACCCATTTTGGAATGGGTAGAATATGGAAGAAATGAAACTACACATTCAGACGTTACTATGTGTAAAACTTTATGATTTCTAAAGACGCATCTACAGAATAACCGGGGCTTACAAAAATAGGTGTGCAAACTGTTGAGGACAATATAGTGAGACAAACAGATGGTAGTGAACGATATAAAGAAGTGATATTAATAATAATCGTTGTTTGATACCATATACTCTCGGGACGGCCGAACGTAATGGCACAAATGACAAGATATGCACATCTTTCATACTGGAAGCAACTGGCTTCCTCATTTTGAGTTATACGGACAGTACAGTGCCACCAGCACCGGGCCATGTCTTGGCAACATACAGCGACGGAAATGCCGACGTAACGTTCCATTCTGTAGAAATTCATACATAAAATACAAGATATATGTAAATGCCACAAGAAAAATTTTCTGTTTTTTTTACGCTTTGTGAGGGGAAGTAACCTTCACTTGTGATTAAGCCCGTTTGACCTCATATTTTGTCGATCAGTAGGATCGATGATTGTAAGTTTCAGTCTAAGAGGATTTGTGTGCGACCGACCTAGTTGCGAAGTTATAAATGTCTTTACACTATCCCGCAGATTTTATTCTCGCTCGGGACATTATTGCAATTATGTGTAATAAAACTTGAATGACTAATGATTACAAACTTTTCAACTCTTCAGTGCTTCGCATAGTAAAAATTCTTTGATTCACAGCGTCTCTGCATCATTATGAGATATAAAGAAACTTTTCTGAAAATAAGTTTTCCTCACAGATGCACGTTTGCGTTAGGTGCGGTGTCATTAATTGTAAAAATCAGCAGAGAAAATTGATAAGAAATAAAAAAGAACAGTAAAACAACAGCAACATGGGCACTATGAAAACAGAGAGCAGAAGTTAACAACTAAAAAACCCTGTTAAAAAATAATAGATGAAAAGAAAACAATTTTTAAAGGGGAAGATTGATTTATTTCAAACGTTTATGTGTATTACGACACATTTTTAATGTATCTTATGTCTCACTTTTTTAGCGACATATTTTGTTATCCCTAATATACTTAATGTGCATCAGCATACTCTTGATCTTGTTTTTGCTTGTCCCGCATAATTCTACCTCAATAAATGAAGTGGATCCTAGCTCAATAGCGATATCCGTATCCTCTAAAAATACCAGAAATATGTCCTTGTTTCGGAATATTTATCATCATTAACTATATCTTCATTTGCAGTGAACTGCAGAGGTGCAACCGGTATCGGTACAAATTATAACGCCGACCGGTATACCGGCATTAGCATGAAGTATAATGAATCAGTCGGTCGATATTGCTGGTATTTTTTTTATATGATTTTTTTCGAAAAATATCGTGTAAATTCAGTTCATCTGTGACATATTTCTTCCACTAAAATTTCATTGCAATTATTTAAGTTTTGTCGGCTTATAGAAACTTCTTAATTTATAAGATGGAAATTGGATTGCTGTTGGCGTAAAAAAGCATGTGAAAAATTAGCTATACATAATCAAAGTGAAAAGATTAATCTATCCCTTTCATAACATAAAATAAAGTTCACAGTAAGGAAAGTATAAGCATTTGTATTTAGGCAAAATATGATCAAGACAAGCCGGTACCGGTAAACCGGTCACCTATATACCGATCGGTCCGAGGTTTGTATACCGGTGACCCGTACCCATATCGCACTTTTGATACTGGCTACACCCTGGTGAACTGTGACTTTTGTCAACATCAGTTAGATTTTTAGTTAAACATTTTGACAATTAACATTAGGGTTGCTAGAACTGGTGACTCATGGGGGACGGAACAAAGGATCACCATGACGATTTCTTTGTTCCGTCCCCCATGAGTCGCCAGTTCTGCCAACCCTGATTGACATTGACAATTTTTGTTCAAAACATTTTTAAAAAGAGAAAGCATCATTGGACTTTTTCTGAATTCTTATGTAATTATAGAACGGTATCTGAGAATTAATTCTAAATATATTGAGTATTTAAGTGAAGTAACGAATTAAAAAGAAATATAAAATGAAAATTCGCGTTGAGTAACTTTTGTTGTATCAGCAAATTATTATCGATATTTTTATTAACTACACAGACAAATAGTCACATTTCACTTAAGAAATCTCACTGGCTCTGAATCTCAAGCCTCTTATGAACATAGTTAAAAACTTTTTTGAAAGCCTTCGTTTTTTTAATAGTCTTCGAGTCTTGTCCTATCTGCCTGCTAGTTTTAGGTGAGCTTTTACGTCAAATAGTCTTCTTTAGAGCTCTTTTATGAGATTAGCCATATTGAGTATTATGGAATATCGTTACAATCGTTTAGCACCAGAACAGAGACAAAATTACTTTCTCTCGATTATCATTTTTTTCTGTTCTTCTTTTTTCTTTTTCAAAGAAACCAAAGAGATATAACAAACAAGTTAATGACGCTCAGCAATAACAACAAATAAATGGAAACAAGGAAAAGACACACGCACGCACACAAAAACAAACACGATAATAATAAACGACTTTTAAATAGTCAGAAAGAACTTAGATTTTGTTGTTACGAAGTTTTGTAATCGCAATTTTTTCTTCTGTACCCAAATGCATATATAATTTTATGATGCAGCTGAATTTGATGCTAAAATATTTAAAAACAACTGTTATTATGAATGAAAAAAGTTGCTATACGACGTGACCAGCTAACTCTACCACCGGAGTATAAAATTCCATCAGTTTTTTGGCATTTTATAATTTTCGAACGGTAAGACGTCCAGAGCTCTCAGACATCCCAAATTAAAGAAACAAATGTGGCTGCGCATTTTTCTCTTTACTTTGGCGCTCTCGGCGTCCTGCTGTTCGGAAATTACAATAGAAACAAAATGCCAAAAAATCGTGATAGAATTATACTCCGGATAGCTGATCAAGTCATTATAGTAAACGTCAAATGAAGCAAACGATCGCATATATAAAGCACAACCTACCTGCTTGTTTTGCTGCATATAACTGTTTTGCTTGATGAGCTTGTAATACAGCAATAGCTTCCTCCACCTAATAAAAAACAAACATCAACGCATGATGCTTTTGTTTTTAAAAAAAGAGACAAAAGTATATACCTTTGCTTTTAATGAGTCACGAGATTCAAGCATATGCAATAATTCTGTATTATCAATTTCCAATAACATTCCAGTTATTTTGCCTGCCAATTCAGGATGCATTTGTTGAATTAATGGAAATAAACGTTCACCTAACATTTGTTTTTGTTCTTGTGGCGATGCATTGGCTAATGCAGCTGGTGTTAATGGCTCTTGACCAGGAACGAGAATCGACTGACCAGAATTCTAAAAATAGAAAAATTGATGTGAAGATAGATGCATTACGCTTTCATTTTCACTGTCTCTCTATAAGCACAAAATAGAGTAATTCTTCTAACAATTCAACGTGCTAATCACAGTAAAAAAAAAATTATCAACTTTCAAAGAGAACTATTAAACGACTGAGTGGTCTAAGTATATAATAATAATCAAGAGAACGAGTTTCGCGAAAGGCATGAATATAAAAACTCCGGCCTAAAGATGGTGTGATAGAACATACTTCGGATCCACCAGTGCCCAGCTAGGAGACAAAAGTCTTTTTAATTTATTCGTGCTTCATTTTTAGAGGGAACGGGAACACAAATGGTTTCTTAGGGAAACACAGGTAGTTTAATGATCTTATACTGAAAGATACTGAATAATGAGGAAAATCTTCATTTACTTCAGACTTTTCAGACAAGATATATGTTGTGTGGACATTTACATACCTTTAGCTGTTACTTCCAAGGCATATAATAATATAATTTCGGGCAAGTCATCATTTTCCAGGGATTCTCCAGAGATTTTGCGATTTTTCGGGGGAGTAGGGAGGATGTATGCTGAGAGGTCTCAGAGATTTTTAGAGGGATTGATCATGCAAAATTCATAATGGTTTGGACTTATTTAAAATATAAGATCTGTTGTAATGCGCTCAATTCTCAGCCGATATGGAAGCTACCGTTGCTTACTTACTACATTCGGAGAGAGTAAAATCAAGAAACAAACTGCTTTCTTATCAAATTTTGCCGTAATCCGACTAAAACTATTCGGTTTACAACTTAGAAATGCCACGAAGCACTTGTAAAACGCTCGTTAAAGGCAGAAAGTGACTTCTCGATGATGGAATGTGCTCTTTCTGTTCCTACTCAGCGAGAATTGGTATACAATAAAAACTCGACTTTTTGGTGGAATAAGACATGCTGGTGGATTTTCGAACGTTCTGTTTATTTCCCTCTGGAAGGCGAAGTATTGTCAAAATTTCCCAAACCCCCGAATTTCTTCAACCTCCGAAGCGCGTTTTGTGCTTCTAACGACAAAAATCTGACGAGACAGAAGAGCAATAAAAGGGGCAAGGTTGACAGACTAAGAAAGCTATAGTAGGTCGAGAAAAAGATAAATATTTCCTTCCTGTTGCACTAGGTTTTTCGTTCCTTTTTCCAGATCAGTTTCAATTAATGTGAAATAACATGAATTCAAATAACGCCTCTCGATAATCAAGATACCATCAACGTACTTGGTCGAGTACAAGAAATATGAGACGCAGCAACAACAATAACTGAGAATAATTTTGGGAATTTTTCTGCAAAAAGTTATATTTTTATCAAACTGAACTATTTATTATCAGAGTCGACAAAAAAAGAAAATCCATATCGCAGAATGGTTCGAACTCCTCTTAAGATGAAAAACTAGCACAGTACAACTAGACTATATTGTGAAATACCTGGCCGCTACGGATTCCCTTAATAATTCCTGAGAACTCCATAACGGGACTTTCAGAAGTTTTTCGGGAACTCCTTAGTAGTTTCATCGGGAAGAGTCGACTGGGGATATGTATGATACAGTGCATAGACGTGCTAGCAGAGACATCCTCTTATTTGCTAGACACCTGCTCTTTATCGAACTGTCTTTTAATAGTTTGTTAAAAAGTTCTCTTATATCATTGTTAACACTTACCGCTTGCGGCATGTTTCTTGCTGTTTGTGTTCTAGCATATGATGGTGGCATCGACGGCATTTGTGATGCTGCTACTGTTCGCGTAACCGACTGAGATATACCTGCTGCTGATGTTGCACGTTGTTGCATTGGTAATTGTGTACGATTTTGTGCATTACCTGGCATCATTGTTTGTAGACGACTTGCCGGCTGTTGCATAGAACCAGGTATCACATTTTGTACTGTTGGTGCACGAACACGTTGATGTGGCAATGGGTACGATTGAGTGGGAAATGTAGTTTGTGGTCTCATTGTTGTCTGTGACCAACGCGGCTGAGCACGATAGGCGGGCATTGCTTGCTGCTGAAAGTAGCTTCGTGGCTGTGGTGGTGCCATGGTTGGTAAATAAGGCATTGAAAATTGCATTGGCATTTGAGGATTTTGCATACGTGATGTTTGCATACGTTGCATATGTTGATTAGTTAAATGAACACGACGTTCTTCTTTTCTTTGTGCTAGTGCAACATATAACGGTTTCGAACCAACAATACTACCGTTCATTTCTGTAACCGCCTTTGTTGCTTCATCAGGAGCTGAGAAACAAACGAAGCCAAATCCTTTTGATCGTCCTCCATCAGTCATGACCTACACAAAGAAACAAATATGTACTTCACTCCGCTAGAAAACAAGAAACTAAGTAGACGTACTTTTGCACTTGTAATTGTACCAAATTTGCTAAACTCTTTTTTCAAATGTTCATCATCGATTGTATCATCCAAATTTTTTATATATAAATTCACACCTTGATATTTGTTCATGCGCTCTTGACGTTGTATTTCTTTTCGACGTTTGGTTTCAGCCGTACGCTCATGTTTCTTCTGAAATCGTCCAACATATAATTGTTTATCACCAAGTGTATAACTGTTCAATGCTTTCACAGCCTAAAAGAATAAAAGAGTAGAACAATAAAAATTGTTAAACAGTAGGCGGAACACTCACCTCTTCAGCCATTTCTGTACTTTCGAAACTACAAAAACCAAAACCTTTTGATTGACCATTTTCATCGTGTTCTACCTGAATAATCAAGATTATGAAATATCTGCAATTTTAATGAAAAATTTATTTTGCCTACTTTACAACTGGTTATTTTTCCATATGGTGCAAATAGATCATGTAATTTTTGATCGTCCAGTTGATCACCAAAATTTTTGACAAAAATATTTGTAAATTTTCGAGGACCACCAATGTCAGAACGTTGATTACGTGACAAAAAGCGACCGACAAATCTAGATTATAAAAAAAAAGAAATAGATCGTATCAAGTCTTTGGCGTACTTGAGACAAAATAGTGAGAAAACATTTCGTCTACGCTAAGAACGAGTTCGCCCTCATCTGGCTTTTTTTAATATTCTATAGCTGTTTCTTCATGCGTTATAACAAGCAAGTATAATACAATACCATTATACATACACTTTTTTATCGGCCAGTAACATTCCGTTAACTTTGTTTATAGCATTATCTAGGAGAAAAGAAATACATAGATGAACAACTAGTCAGCCATTTATCATCTTGATATAACATACCAGCTGCCTCTTGTGTTTCAAAATGAACGAATCCAAAACCTCTACTTTGCCCTTGATCATCAGTCATAATCTTAAAAACGATAAACAATCGCTATTTAGTAGAAGATAAATAAATGGTTTGTTTGTTCCTTACTTTACACGATAAAATATTTCCAAATGCAGAAAATGTATCGTATAACGATTTATTATCAATATTTTTGTCCAAATTTTTAATAAACACATTTCCAATACCAGATTTTCGCAGTGCTGGATCTCTTTGTGACCACATAATTCGCATTGGTTTTCCACGTAGCATATCGAAATTCATTGTATCCAAAGCTCGTTCAGCTACGAAATAAAATGTTTTTATTCGAATAAAAAAAGTAAACGATGAAATTTTAATGCATACCATCAGCTGGTTGTTGAAAATTGACGTAAGCATAACCAAGTGAACGTCGAGTTATCATATCACGACATACACGAATTGATAAAACTGGTCCAGCCGAGGCAAATTTATCAAACAACATGGCTTCGGATACATCCGGATGTAAATCACCTATGTAGAAAGACAAAAAGACATTTGAAGTGAACATGTATTAAACTGAACACGATACAACAGTACTCAATTATCAACCCAAATTCTCTTTTTTTTCAATCTCTCTAATTTCTCATTCGAAATAGAGAAATGTTTAATTTCCCCTATTCATTTTAATTTGTTTAGCACGAGTTTAAAAATAGGATCAAGATGCTAGGAGAACTACTAACTTCTCTGATTGCATCAGAAAAGAGCTGAAATTCTATTATCAACCTATAACGCAAAATCCAAGTTTCAAGTATGGTTTGGTGAAAAGAATTGAGCCCAAAACAGCAGACTTTTATTAAAATGAACAGAAAGAATAGATGTCATCTATCTCTGGAAAAGACCAACAGAATCCACCCTTTCGCTACTGAAGAATGCATGCTATTTTTCTTATGAGCTTGTTTTTCACCTTACCCACATATAACGATGCCATCGGGTATTGAGTGTTTTGACCCGCATTCTGTGGTTGTGATACTGCCATTTGACTTTTTTTGTGTTAGTTTTTTGTAAGTTTTGCTGTTTTTTTGGATAATTTTTTAAATCTTTTTCGTTTTAAAATTTTCGGACTGATAAGTTCGTCCACTAATGTGTAAATAGCTTGATGGATAGATAGTTAAATGTAGGACGGACGCAGGAAGAATTTTTTGCAGGAAAATCCTGTTTTTTTTAAAATACTTTTGTTGTTTTTTTTGTTTTTTAAATTTTTTTTAATAGAGCAACAAGACTACTCCACAGAGCACAACTACATAAAGTGAAATCGAATAGGGAACGTAGTCAGTTTTCTTCCATGCTAACTTTTTGTATTAACAGGCTGACGAATAATGTAGTACGGATGAGACAGAAAAAGAAAATTTGTGACATACTTATGCACATGAGCAGTAAAAGTTTTTCTGACGTTGTGTGGTACCTATGTAACTTGCTAAGTTTCATGAAAATGCCAGACTTCAATAATCATATAAGAAGTTTCTTCGAGGAAAACTCTGTACTAAACAACGTCGTGATATTGAGCAATGAAAATTTACATTAGGTTAGTCATGATGATCAACCGATGACAAGTTACACAAAGGATTATTACTCATACACTAGATGCAAGGGAGGAGCTCACTGGTTAGTTTCTCTGTTAATTGCTACTGAAGTATTTCTTTCGTTCTGCATTTTTGTCCTAAGGAAAAAGAAAAGAGTAGAGCGGGCAGTGTTTATAGAATTTTTGATTGGAAATAAAATTCACTTTACTTGGTTAGTTTTAGCGTACTCTGTTCACAAAGCTGATTGATCACTTGCTGACGATGTGGCATGTAGTATCAATATGTATATATATGTATCAATATGAAAAGAATTGCTTCATGACTAGACGGTTGTAGTATTGCAAAAGGCAAAACGTTCGGGGTGACTTGACGTAGAAAATGCTCATTCTCTTGTTCTAACATTTTTTCAATTCAGATCATTTTTTCAGATGAGAATAAGGACATCAGAAGACATTTGGGGTTGTCAAGTGCATCCTTTCCTATAGTAGTGTATCATACAGTTCCTTATAGTTTAATTTTACTGCATAAAGCTTGCCTTTATCGAAACCGTCTAAAAAAACAGCAAAAGTTTGCTTTTCACGACCAGAGTATGGAAAAAAGACTATCATGTTTGGGTGTAATATTGACATGTTGTTTCTCTTCAAATTAAAAAAGAACCGAAAAGATTTGACTCTGAACCAGTCAGGATTATCAACAATGACGAGAAACTAATGTGTGCAGATGATGATTTTTGTAAAAACGAATAGAGGCGAAAAGAATTCAATAAGTTGTACTGTGAAAAATACAAAAAAAAGAAAAAGGCTACACAACCGTTCCATTTCTCAACTGAGGAAGAAATAGTATCAGGAAAATCTCTTTTAGGTTAGAACGTTGACCATTTTAGAATTTTTCAGCATTGTTCGTGTTGCTATTCACTATTATATCTTAAAAAACGTTTTTTGTGAAGAATAAGCGCACCGTTTCAAACTTTTTTCATTCAAGGTTGTGCCTGTAACCGCATAACCGTAAGTATTTCTTATGACATTTTCTTGTTGCAAATGAAAAGCGCTTAATTGATGAGTTCCTTTATAAGACCGTTAAAAATAGTCGTGATACGATAGGATCGAATACTCTCGATCCGTGAATTTGCGATTTCCTAGAAGTAGTTGTGAGCTTTATTAAAAAGATATGTAACACAAATTGTTTTTAGCTTTTTAGAACATGTCTACAGGCGTATCAGATAATGATAATACCGTTTCAAAGTTATCATCTATGTTAATTGATAATACACTTCCAATGAAACTACGTTTTCGTATACTATTTACATTGAAAACTCTCAATGGAAAACATGCTATTGATGCTATTAACCTTGCATTTAATGATACGTCAGCATTATTAAAACATGAATGTGCTTATTGCTTAGGTCAAATGGCAAATCAGTATGCAATACCATATTTATTACGTGTGTTAAATGATGAAAAAGAAGATTCTATGGTTCGACATGAAGCTGGTAGATAGTGGTTACTTAACCGAGAAAGACTTCTAATTTCTTTTTTAAAGTTTAGGCGAAGCATTAGGTGCAATTGGTTGTTATGACAACAAAGATGTTTTAAATGCACTGGAAGCAAATAGTCAATCTAACTATCCAGAGGTAACGTATTTAGTTTTTGTGCATACGCTTGCTTCACATTCATATCTTTTCTCTCTTAGATAGCTGAAACATGTCAAATTGCTCTTGACAGACTAAAGTGGTTGCATGAAAATAATATTTGTGATTCTAATAACAAAAAACCTTATTCAACAATTGATCCTGCGCCAGCGTTTGATATAACTGATATTAGTGACTTACGTACGATATTATTAGATGAAAAAAAATCATTATTTGAACGTTACAGAGCTTTATTTGCTCTGCGAGATTTAGGCAGTGACAACGATAATGCTGTACTTGCTATATGTGATGGTAAGTTTTAGAACTTATGCATTCTGTCAGCTGTAACAATTCTTGCTTATCTTGATCTAACAGAAGTTAAGAAACACGTGGAGGGGGAAGCCCTCCAGGTGTCTTTCTTAAAATCTAATTGATTACAACGACGTACCCAGCTTGACCAAGAGTGGGCCATGCCCCACCCCTTAGAAATTTCGTTTTCTTCATTACCCAGTAGAAAAAATATTTTGATTGAAATTGAAAATAAAGATACTACACAAGAACCTTTTTACTGTTTTCTTTGGCTAAAAAAAGGATTGGCCCACCTCTTACTGGAATCTTGGGTACGTCGCTGCTTGATTATGCATATTTTTTACCCCCGGATCTGATGTCCGTTTGTTCATATGAAGCCTTCCAGAAACTTGTTCAGATTTAGGGCCTGTAGAAGACTTACGTCTGAATAAATTTTGTTAATGTTCATTTATGAAGTAAGGTGCCGCAAATTTAATATTGCAGCTAAACGTTTTTTGGCTTTGTCATACACGATTGGATAGAGCGCCTCGAGCTGATCAAAAATAGATTCGTTTTACTTTTTAAGCTTTTTGAAACGAGAAGATTTTAAAATACTTGGATAGACCAAAATGGTTAAAATCCGCTCCATTTGAATAAAGTAAGAAAATTTTTGATTTTCTTTTTTTACAATTTTGGAACTAATTTTTTCTGATTCAGCATCAAAAACTGTGTATAAAAATGATGTTTGAACGATCATAGAGTCAAATTGAGCCTGTGGCCCCTTTGAAATAACCATGGGCATTTTGTAAACCTATCTAGTTTTTTCTATCGATAGATAAAGCCTTTCTTTTCATACAGTTGTAATCGTCGAAATCTCAGCTTAAACAGTATAACTCGCATTTTTTAAGATTTTATTTGGTTGCCGAGAAGATTCCTTTTTTCTAAATCAATGACGAAAACTACGGAAATACACTCGTATTTTGACATCTTCACCATCAAATTTCCGTTTATTTGCAGAACTAGTGTGCTATTCAGAACCGACATCAAAAACTGAGTCTAATGAGGTTACTCACGGTTCTGTTCAACAACTTCGATTGTTTTCGAATTTCTCCATCGAAAAATAAATACCATCTACTTAGGGTTGACCAAAAGTTCGTAGAACGATGATTTCGCCCTCCCCTCCTCACACCGTGATCAAAACTTTTGGTCAGCCCTAAGTATATTCTGATAGCGCTGGAAATTCTCTATCGTCCTATATATTTGTCTCCTGCCCTGCATTTATGTATTGCAAAAATAACTTTACAAGTTATTTACAAGTAGTATAATGAAGACAGCCTCAATTGACAAGCGTGCCTGCATGATAGTCAAATTATTCTTCAGCACAGAAATCCAAGATAGAACAAAAATATACAGGATGATAGAGAATTTGAAGCTCTACCAGAATGTTTAATTCCTTTTAGAAAGATTTATTTCCATAGTATCTATAATTTGAAAAAGCATAAAATGTAGCGAATTTTTGTACTTGTCAATTGAGGGTATCTTCATTGTACTCAAGTTATTTTTGCAATAGATAAATGCAGGACAGTAGACAAATATATAGGACGATAGATAAATTCAAGCGCTATCAGAATATACTAGAGCTGACCAAAGGTTTTGGTCACGGTGTGCGGGGAGCGAGCATCATCGTTCTATGAACTTTTGGTCAATCCTAAGTAAAAATTCCTAGGCAAATCTTATTCCTCGATGTGAACAGAGTTTCGGAATGGCTGTATATGAACGAACGAACATCGCATTCGTGATTGACAGTAAAAAATATGTATAATCAAGTAGGTTTTAAGAAAGGTCAAAGAGACACCTGGGGGACTTCCCTGCCCGGTCATAAGGTAGCATTTTTTTGTTTGTCTAGTGACACCTATTCTCTGTATTACTTTTCTGTTCTTTATTTATTTATAGGTTTTCAATGTTCGAGTGCATTATTTCGTCATGAAATCGCTTTTGTCCTGGGACAACTACAATCTGTATGTTCAATTAATGCATTAAAATCTCAATTAAACAAACTAGATGAACATTATATGGTTCGACATGAATGTGCCGAAACATTAGGATCAATTGGAACAAATGAATGTCAAAAATTACTAGAACTGTATTTAAACGATCGTGATCGTGTTGTCCGAGAAAGTTGTGAAGTAGCTCTTGATATTAGTGATTACGTGAACAGTAAAGATTTTCAATATTGTAACGGTTTAAAACTTGTTGAAATGGAATGTTAAAGGTTTTTTTATGTATTATTATCGCCCATAAATAAGACAAAGATTTTATATAATCTGAATAAACGAACACTCAGAGAGTTTTGGTCTCATAGCAACAGTTTTCAATTTGACATTTTTAGAAGAAAACGAGTCTGTCATCTGAACATCAAAAAATTCTATTTAGTTGAGACAAAAAATAATGATGCTAAGTAACACACTTTACTTACTTTGTGTTAAAAAAGAGACCACGCTCGATTATAATGTATAAATAATCGGAAGAAGGAAGAAGCATTGAAAAGACGATACATCGAGTTTGATTAAATTGTTTTTTGTTCTCTAGATCTCTCTATATCTCTCTAATTGAGAAGAAGCCAGTACGTGAGCTCTTTTTAGCTGATGCAAAGGGCTATAGAACATAACTGCTACATAGACGTTTGAGTATACCACCTACCTTTTCTACGTCCTTTCTTCTTTCTTTGCCTTGGAAAGCTAACTGTAGATTTGATGCTTGAGGACCTAATTTCCGCAGTGAAAAGTAATTTTTAATTCTTGCTAAGCTTGTCAGTAGTACAGGGACAACAGCATATCAAATAATATTCCGTGCTTTTGCGATATTAAAGTTCTGTGCTATATGTGAATATGACATTTAAACTTCTTTTTCTCACAATTTTTATCTTAACAATTCAATGTGCTTCTTGCTGTTGTTTATTAAAAAATAAAATTTTTAGATAAATTATTTTTATACCTTTATCTTCGTTCAAACATAACCTAAACAAATGAAACGAGTAAGTTGGCTTTCTTCAATTTCGTAATTTTCTCCACATATATACGTCGTTCACAGTCTTATCTTAAATGTCCGTCTCTTTTCAGCCACCGAGACAACAGAATATCGTATGGCTGAGTTTATTTTTATTAGTTTTACAAACGACGAGTCTTGTGCTTTTGTTACGTTATTCGAGAACAATTGAATCAGCGGTAAAATCTGATCGTTATGTATCATCAACAGCTATTGTCGCAGCTGAACTATTGAAAGGTCTTATGTGTATCATACTCGTGTGGCTTGAACAAGGTATATCATCGATACATACTTTTGCTACTGCTGCAAAAATTTTCCGTACGTCCCGAATTTTTTTTGTTTTAACAATAACTCAGCAGAGGAGAGGTCTTTCAGCAAACCCAAACGGTTTTTACTAAAATGTTGCCCATTCCTCGAGTATATCTGTGAAAATAACTTTTAAAATATTGGTTACTCGACATCAACACTCAGGTACCTTTCGAAGAGCTGCAAACATTTTCCGTACGACTGATGTAATTGAATTTTTGACCTGTCAAGAAAGTTTAAAACTATGAAACCGAGTGAATCGTACGAAATACCTGATGCAGTTTCTTTCTGGAAATAGGTACTTTTACTGGTCGACGCGTATTTTCCTGGACAGTTAATTCTGAACAAGATAGATCGTTCAAATTTTTTTCACAGGTATACAAAGCTTTATTCTTACAGAACAAAGTAAAAAAAAATAGTGTGACAAAAAATTTCGTAAATGAGAAAATTAATTTTAATATTTTCTTGGAAGATCCTTCTGTTTTATACATTTATCTAGACGATTTTCCACCGAATCAACGGGTATCTCAGTTACATCAGAATCAATAGAATTCCAAACTTTGATAAGCCTTTCTTTAAATCCTTTTAGATTACGAGGCGGATCCTTGCGTATTATTTGTTTAATATGAAACCATAAATTTTCTATTGGATTTAAATCCGGTGAATGCGGCTGCCAAACCAAGCGTTCAATTTTGTTTGTAGTTTAGCCATTCATTACCACATTAAACGTAAGGCGTGGATCATTAAACACGAAGTTTTTATCCAGATGTAATTTTTTGGCTGAGACGAACAAATTTCTTTGCAATAATTTTTGTCCAGTCAGCTTTTCATCGCTAAAAGGTAGCTGCCACTTCGGCCCATACAGCTCCAAACTTTCAGGTTTCCACTACCATGGTGAACTGTTGATACAATATAATTAGCAGAAAAATCTCCAGATTATTCGTTTTCCACAGAGCTGAAGATAGTAAATTTTGACTCATCAGACCCTTTTTCTTTTTTCCAAAAACTAACTGGTTTGTTGAAATAGTTGTATGCATGTCAGAGCCCGAAACGAATCAGGAAAACCTGATTCGATTCGATTTGATTCGGGAAAACATTGTTGAATCATAAATCGGTTCGGGCTCTGATGCATATCCAAGACGCTGCAAGTGATTGATCTGTTTACCAATGATTTTTTTCGAGCCACTCTGCCGCGATAACCATGGTCATTTAATCTGGGCTGATTTTGCACGGTTTTCTCGTAATCAACCTGTCAACATCATTGGTTGTTTTCGGTTTTCGACCAATCAACATTCCTGACAGTTTTCATTTTAAATTTATCGACTATATACTGAACTAGGATTTTGACATTTGTAACAATCGACCTATTTCTCCTAAACTTTTACCATTTTAATAATACCCTTTAGTAATGTTTGATAATCAAAGGCCGAAGATCTGGGCATTTTAGTTTATTTTAATCAAAATGAAGTGATACGAACTGCTCCAACTCTATAAGTGTGATTCTATCTAAGCATATGTCCTCTCCTTCTTTTGTCTTACATGGTAAAAGCAGAAAACAACAAAACCACGTATCAGGTGCATACTTTCTAACTTTGTTCTGTAGAAATAAAGCTTAGTATCCCTGTGAAAAAAATTTGAGCGATGTATCTTGTTCAGAATTGACTGGCAAGGAAAATACGCGTATTTTGACTAGAAAAAACTGTATCAAGTATTTCATACGGTTCACGCGGTTTCCTAAACAGAAAAGGTCTTTTAGAAAGTTTTTAAGACTTTGCTTTTTGATCCATTTCTGTTTGCTGATTCTGAATATGTTATTGATTCTGATTGAAAACATAAAGAAATGATAAAAAGTTAAAAACCTGCAAAAATGAGGATGCTTTGAATGGGGCTCGTAACAAACAGACCAGAGCTGTTGCTCCGGTGGTCGTCGAGGGAAAAATTTTTGAAAAATTGGGACATCTTTTTGTAAATATATTGCAAAACGAAATTCTGTTCGTGGATTATGTCGGGGAAGGTTTGGAAAAAGCTTTTCCTGTTGAGGGAAATTCCCAATCTCACAGGTACATTCTGCACCCTTGAAACAGACGAAAAATTGGGTCAAACGTTTTTCGTAAAATTTTAAATCACCCGTTTTCTTATGCATTGATATGTTTAAAAAAAAATGATATGTTGATATGTTAAAAAGAAAAATCTTCATCCATTCAGGTATTGAGTTTGCGTGCTGACCATGTCAACTTTACCTTAAAATCGACCTGCCCGTCCTGAGAAGCTTTTCTCTCAAATACATTTTTTATGAATGTTTGCAGCTCTTCAAAAGGTACATGAGCGTTGATGTCGACCTACGGGCAAGAGTAACCAATATTTTAAAAGTTATTTTCACAGATATACTCGAGGAATGGGCAACATTTTAGTGAAAACCGTTTGCTGAAAGATCACTCTGCTGAATTATTGTTAAAACAAAAAGAATTCGGGACGTACGGAATTTTTTGCAGTAGTAGTATTATTAAGATCCTCTCGAGTAGTTTTTCGATCATGCCATCCTTAACTTAGAGGAATTATACACTACGAAAAAAATGTATCTTAAAATGTGTTGCGCTCAGATTGGGCCTTATCAGAGGATATATTTGCCGTGCCGTACACATAGACACAACGGATAATGTCTCTATGGAAGAGACATTGGTTTAGCCTGTACAATGCGACTCCGATGGAATGTGCTCTATCCTCTGACGCGTGGGATGAGTCCTGTTTTCTTTCCATTCAATCATTCACATTTTTGTTTTATGAGAGTGCCTCTATATGATACACTCAACATTTTACATAGAAAATCGAAATTTTCTCAGTATAATTCATTGAGGCTCAAACCTGAATGATTCAGACTCATCATCTGAAAAATATTTTCGAGGGTTAACCATTTTGACTCAAGCAGCTTATGCAGGTCGTTGATAAAACTGTATACAGTGTTCGAAATGTCTACATTTTCTCGGGATTAATTGATAGTATTGAAAAATACTCAAGTTTGGAAAAAATGTTTAACTTTTTAGACACATATTCTTCTTCTTTAGACCGATCACTTGCTCGTGTTACAAGAACATTATATAATGAAATCTATTCTAAACCTTCTGAAACGTTCAAATTAGCAATACCTAGTGGTCTGTATGCAGTGCAAAATAATCTTTTATTTATTGCATTATCTTATTTAAATGCGGCAACATATCAAGTAAAAAAACAAATAATTAAGTAAATAAACTTGATAAAAGGTTGTTTTATAGGTTACTTATCAACTGAAGATACTCACAACAGCCTTATGCGCTGTATTTATGCTTGGAAAACGATTAGATTCATTAAAATGGTTTTCATTATTTATGTTAACTATTGGAGTTGCTTTCGTGCAGGTAAAAAACAAATAACTTTATCTAAAACAGATTAACGACTAAATTTGTTTATAGTGGCCGGATGAAACAAAGATGTCAGCAACTCATATTCAATCAAGCTGGTTGCAACAGTTTACTGGTCTCGGTGCTGTTTTATTATCAACGTTTACTAGTGGTTTTGCCGGTGTTTATTTTGAAAAAATACTCAAGACAGGTCCCACTTCTGTTTGGGTACGAAATATTCAGTTAGGTAAAGGAAAAAAATGTCTATAAACTACATCGTTTTTCAACTTATATTGTCGTTTTTGTTTGAAGCCATATTCGGTACATTATTTGGTTTAGTTATTGTTTACACAATGGATTATAATGTCGTATTGGAAAAAGGTTTTTTTCATGGATATACCACCATCGTTTGGATCGTTGTGTTTTTACAGGTAATAACTGAAATCTAACGTTGAAAGTTAGTTTTTCTCAAAGTCAGCTGAGAATAGTGTACATATTCCTATCTTTTGCCGATTTTTACAGATATTGTATGCTGTGATGAATTGACTACAACCTAAAAATATTTTAGGCTGAACTCTTTTACCTGTAGGCTAGAGCCTATCACAGTTTTTACAAGTATTGGAGACAAAAAATTGGAACTGAATGTTGTTCTCATTGCTAAACCTGAGAAAAACCTCGTTTTGCTTAAATTATTCGATTTCAATAAAGTGGGCTTGTGTTCGGTAATTTTTATAAATTCCACTTTCAGAATCTACGGATGGAATCGAATCGAAAGATATATCTATTGTTATACAGTCTTTGTAATCTCATATTTATAATCTTTGTGTCATGAAGGATGCAAATAAGATATCATACGTTCGTAACATGCTCCTGTCCATGTCTGACCTCTAAAGTAACTTCCATTTTTTCGTATCTGTTAGTCTTTAGTCATCAGTTACTTCTCTTACTGTTCACGACATCTAATTTCATTTAGGGTGCTGGTGGTCTAATAATCGCCGCTGTAATTAAATATGCCGACAATATAGTTAAAGGTTTTGCAACATCATTGTCGATAATATTATCATCTGTTGTGTCTTATTTTCTTTTGCACGATTTTCAACCGTCACTGTAAGTTAATAACATCACTTCAGCTTTCAATGAGTCTTTTCTTTTGGTTTTTTTCAGGTTTTTTTACCTTGGAACAACACTCGTTATAGCCGCAACGTTTTTATATGGTTATGAAAAGAAAATTGTTGAACAATTGAGAATTTAAGTATTCTATTGTTTTGTGTCCACTGTGATATAATCTCATATTGTGTGTAATTGTTTCCGGTTTTTATTTTCCATTTGTTTTTATCGTTACACATTTGTTGTTTTTAGATTAACTATACTGCGATAATGATTGATACTGCGAGTGACACTCTCTAGCAAATCCCGACTAAAGTTTACTCGCAGATTGATTTAGCAGGCTCTCAAGAATTCTTCTAGTCTCAGGTTGCATGACGAGATTGTCTGTGAACATATGCACAAGAAGTAAAGCAAACGAAAGCAGATTTTAGAGAATCTTCGGATTGTTTTTACGAAAGCCCGACTAATGACTTATATGTCTAATCTGATGTGCTACTAAAAACAGTGAATATGCTTGTTCAGTGAATATCAGTATTTATTGCCAATAGAGTATTTTAAATCGTTTGTGTATGTTTTGATAATATTTGCTGTTCCTTGGTTTTTGGATATATTTATTATTCCTTTCATTACGTTTTTTATATAGTGGATATGTGGATATATTTTATCTTTTTAACTTTAAACCTGTTTTCGTCTATTTTCTCTGAAGCAGTTATCAAGTTACACAAAAAATTGGAATACAAGGATTTAGATTTGAGCAGAGAAGAAAAAGTTACAAGATGTTATACGATATGAACGATCTACACTAATCAGTCAATCAACGTATAAAAAGCTGTAATCTGAAAGTTAAGTAGAATTTGTAGTCAAGGGTATGTACATGTACAGACAAATGCATGTCACATACAGGTTTGCCAACTTGTCTGATTTATCAGAATCTGACTGATTTTTGAGTTTTTCTCTGATAGCTTTCTGATTTTTTTGGCTTTTTCTTGATTTCTACTGGAGAAGATGACCTCTGGAAAAAAGACTAAGGCAATACATTCATGTCTATATTGTTCAGTTTATCAGTCAGATTGTATTTACTTAATTCCAGTCAAAATATAGTATCTGTCTCCTATGTTGTAAAAGTAAATGCATGAATTGTAAAAAAAGAACAGTTTCCTTTACACACATTCATTTGAACTTGAATTCCTTTAAAGTACTACAAGACATAAGAAAGCATATGTAGATAAGCAAAAAGATAAGATTCTCTTTTAAAAAAAAACAAAGTGTACCTTTTCTCCTTCGTTTTGAGCGAAAAAGATCTTCTGGTTTTGAGCTTTTTAACTGATTCTGTTTATTTTTCGGGATTTTTCTACTCATTCTTATCTCTTTCAGTTGGCAATCCTGGTCACAGGAATATTTTGCTAAAACTTACACTTCTTGATTATTTTCCTGAAACAGAAATATGTTGCTGGCTCAAATACAAGATTTAGACTTCTTTTTCATCTTACCATTTATTATCTCAATCCCAGAGAGCTCAATTTTACTCTTCTAACACAAGTAGCGCCGTCGTTGTCATTTTCACCTATTTATGATATAATTATGATATAATGATAAAAACTAACCGCCTGTTCAAACCTTGATGCGCAGTATTAATAGCGCACTTTTGGTTCATAAAATCTTCAAAATCTTTATCATTTTTTTACTATTCACCAAATAGCACCATCTGGCGTTTCAATAAGAATCTCTCCCCCAAAGGTTTCAAGCTTTCAAAACCTCTACTAGTGCATAAAATAGCGTTCGTGACGAAACTGTGCTCTACTGAGCGACAGTAACTTCTAGGTTGATCCGAATCAGAATGAAACGTTTTTTGAATACATCTGGGCGGATTTTTATATTCATCATCCAATCCATTACTATTAATTAGTCGATAAACAGGATGTTCTATATTAACACATTCACTGCCATATACGTCGTATGATGTATTCAAACGCGGCACGTATTTGAAACGCCTGGAAGTGAATGTGTTGACTATTAACAGTAGAGCTCGAGCGACTGTTAGAGAGTACCTAAAGTCTATTTTTTCTAGACCGTAACGTTTTATAATCGTCTAGAACTCCAGTCAGGAAAATTTCCACGTTATGTTTGTTAGGAAAAAGTGAGAATTTTTTTTAAGCAAAAATTTTGTAAAAATGATGTGGTAGAATTTTGGTGCAACTAAACTCCGTTTATTTGTTATAGACACTTTTCAGAATTTAAATTTTTTATTCATTATAAAGTTTTCTCTTTACAACTTGTCAAAAGAGAGGTTGACTCATTCATAAACTAGATTTAAGCGAATCAAATGATGATACTTAGTGAGTACGTAGAGAAGAAGTGGAAAGTAAAAACTTGCCAAGTTCTTTCTTGTTCTGTACTTGCCAAACTTGCCAAGTTCTTTCTTGTTTCTGTACTGCAAGTAATGAAACACTTGCATCAAATACATTCTCTAGAACAGAAGAAAAGACTGATAAACTTAGTCATGTTCTGCTTAATCAATAAATAAAATTCTTTGAAAAATCCCAAACTTCAGATAGTTATCGTTCTTTGCCGTAGATTTGATTGGCTGTCGGTGTCTACCAACAGTTAAATTTTGTGATGAGTCACGTTTATGATTCAGCGAGTTGTCATAATTCAGTTCGCTGAAGAACAGAGTAACTAGAAGAATGTATTCAGTTCTCCTTCTATACAGTGGCCCACGCGATCAATCGAAAGAAATACTTGTACACCTTTCTGTAGTTTATTTCAATAAGTAAACTGGAATAAAGGTATTTCTCCTGAGCGAAAAAAAAGTATTCCGCCCGTAAATCCCGATCGTAAATGTACATATATGATAAAATGTATAAATAAGAAGCACAAATAAATCGAATATAATACTATAATTTGTGTACCGTCGCGTGGATTTTATAGGTTATTAACACGACAATGAGTAAAAGTAACTGTTTGTTCTTTTGTTGTGATAAACCATGTGTGTAGGAAAGGGGTGGGAGGGCCAGTGGAGCAGACATACCCTGTTTTTTTATGCCTTTGCTTTACATGTCAGAATAGACGAATTAGTTTATCTTGTTGTACTCGTTACCTTGCGGAATAAAAGAATCCGGTGTTGATATCCAATAGAATGGATCTGTTTTTTGACTCGGTGAAAAGCAGTTAAGCACCTAAAACATCTCAAGCAAACTTTGAGTGTGAAAAGTCTAAATTGCCATCTTTTCCTTATATTACGTCATCAAGACTAAATCAGTTTGATTAAGAAATCAACCGAGCGTATAATATAGGACCATATGCATATGTTCAAACCAAAGCTTGATAATAAACTCTCACATGCAGTATTTCTACTAAGAATTCTGAGCAAACTGTACATCCACAGTTTATCACTGGATTTTCCACGTTTTCTGCAATAGACTGTACGTACAACTTTCGGAGGATACTGCACACACTGGCTCACTGAGTACACTCTCGCAGTGTTTTTAATAGGAATTTTAAGCAAAGTAGGTTTCCACAGTTTACCACTGCATTTTCCATGTTTTCCCTGCTAAAAACAAAGTGGAAACTCAAAAAGTGGATTCGTGTAGTTCTACAGAACCTTTCAAATGTTTACAAAACTCAGTTTGATATCACTTTCTGTAAGAGATATTTTTCTTCAGTATATTAGCCGAACCAGAAACTGCCATGGGCTATATGCATGTCTTTGAAAGAAAAATAAGGCTTTCTATGATTTATCTCCTTAATTTTAATTTTTTATGCTTTTCTAGATATCTTTTTATTTATTAAATAAAACGATCCATCCTAATGTTGAATTGTCCGAATACATCGGAACAATCAATTTTAGAGCCAAATCTTTCATTCATTGCATCGAATGAAACTGTTCATACTACATTATCACCGCCACTTATCGGCACATCAAACACAACATTCGTTCCAAATAACTCTGGTGTAATGACAAATCAAACGGCTGAACATAATAAGATGTCACCACCGACTTCTCGTCCTGGTTATAATACAACAACTGCTGATCGTAAACTTCGTCCGAATAGTTTAGATATTCGGCAACGACAAACAGGGCTACCTCATCCGATGTTAACATCAGACGATTATAATAAATTAATACTATCTACACCTGAATTAGATGAAAAGTTACGCGGTTATACAAATATTGTTACAAGTACATCAACGCCAACCATTCAGTTACAAACACCTGATGTAATTAATTCCATTACAAATGTCTTTTCTCAGCAGCAACGGCAGCAAATTTCGCAACAGCAGTTTATGACTGATGGTACTCCAAGTCCCAGTTATAAGCTATTAGAAGAGCTGATGAATTCACAACAATCTACTACTAATAATCAGGGTAACTCTACTCCTGATATATTAACAGCAATTCAACAACTGTCATCTCAGCAACCGTTAATAATAGTTCCACCTGACAATCATATAACAATAACCCCACAATTTCTTCAACAATTACAAAATACATTCACTAATAATCCGGAGACAGCAATGACAATAGCAAATAACGAACATTTACAAGCGTTAGTTTATGCACTCCAAAAAGCTGCATCAACGCCGAACAGTTCTATAACACCGAATATGGAAATTAATAATCATGTATTTACAACAGACAATAATACAAATACTAGTAATAGTGTTCGTAATGTATCTATTTCACAAAATCGATCTCACTCACCACAAATGGATACGTCTGCCAATGATTCATCCACCTCTAGCTCTTTGTCTCCATTAACGCACTCGTCATCTTCAACATTGCATACAAACAATATACAATTGGGTAAAATCAAAGATGAACCACAACACGTGCCATCAGGTTCCTCGTCACTAATAACGACAACAACAACAATGTCAAATACAATACCGGGAATCGAAAGGATAAATATGGAACAAAATGAAGTTGTTAAACGAGAAAAAAAACGGGAAAGAAACCGTCAGGTGATAAAAGAAAACTAATAGGACGCTTTTCTATGTAATATCAACAACACATATTGTGTTTAGCTAGTTTAAAATACCATACAGTAGGCATACGGAGCAGTTTTAACCAGAAAAGGAAGAGCTTCAGTCGTACGAATGAAAATATAAAATTCCTTGTACGGAGGATACAGATTTATAAATCCTCTTTTGATTCTTTGTTTTTGATCTCACTTAGGCTGCTCAAAAATGTCGTACAAGAAAATTAACCCGTATTGCTGAACTTCAAAAGCGTGTTAATGAATTACAAGGTAATAATAAACATTTGAATGATACTGCCGAACAATTACGGCACGAAATATCCAAATTAGAGAGACAATTACATGATCATCAAACGTCTGGTTGCAATTTAACATACACAACATCAACGTCTGCTCCAATATCAAACTACAATTATTCAAGATAATTCTTCTATCTGTTACATTTTTGTATATTATACATTTTTGACGAAAACAACAATAACTACATTTTACTCATCCGGTGACTATTTGTTTGCGTTGGTCAAAAAGAAATTTTTCTTTTCAAAATTTATCATTTTTCCTTAAAGTTGTTGTTGTTTTCCAACGATTGCTTATATTGCATACGAATTACTTTTTTGTTCATCGTATTTGCTTGTTTATACTACTTATTTGAAACGTGGTATGTGTATTCTTTACATGCATACATGTAAAGCCTGTAGGATTTATGTTAAACAAAAATTCATTTGTGATTTTCTTTTTTTTGTTTATACTCTTCTACTATTTATTGCTTTTTCTAGTGTGCAAGGATAATTTGTAACAAAAAATAAATTAAAAAGTTGCAATCGACTGTTGTTGACTTTTTCCCCCACTAACTACCTTGTTAACAGAATGTAATGTAGTTTTATTTTTATAATGTAAATAAATGCTCAAAAGATAGCAGTGTGTATCTTAGGAAATGTCGGATGTTTACTTAGAAAAAATTCTTGTACAGATTCAAAATTTGATGAGATATTTAGAGAAAAATGGTTTTAAGTTAATGGATATAATGATATACCATCACGGTAATCTAAATAATATCGAGATCTATACTTTTTCCGTGGTAGAATGAAGTTGCATCACTTTTCTCAGTGAGATGTATCTTTCATTTTAGATGACGTGTGATGAGGCAGCATATTTAGCGAGCAGACGTTACTTGGTAAAGCACATTTAAATTATTGACTCTAATGAGATATTCAAGGTTTTTTATTTTGTTTTTTTTAGGGACTTGATGGCACTAGTGAAATTAGTGGTTTATTGTCAGATGTACAAGATGTCGACTATTTAACTGAAAATGTTATTAATATTGTTAAAGAAAAAATACGCGATCAAGGTGTGCGTGTAAGTTACATTGTTAGTTTTTCAAAGTTAAGTTAACAAACAAAAGTTATGTATTCGTTTTAGGATTACACTTCATTTGTACGTGCATTCGTCGACATGTTTATGGATTCAACAAATGCACCAAGAATGTACACAATTAATAAATTGTTGAAAAAAATCGTTGAAATTAATCCACCTTTAGCAAAGTAAGATGCTTTACTTTGTAATGTTGTAGTTAATTTTTGAATTTCTTTTATTGAAAGAATATTTGCTGAAAACATCTTACAACATCCACGTATGAATATTAATTTATCCACATTAATCTGGAACTCAGCAATGGATCTTTTACAGTTTCTTGTACGCTATCCGGATTACAAAGTGAGTAGCATAGAGAAGTTCTATGACAAAAGAAAGTATGTTAATTCATCATTCAGGGCATTCGAGATATATTCAAGCAATTGTTAGAAAAGGTACAATATTTACCAATCGAAATACCTATTGAAGACAATGACAAAGTTTTCAAGTTGTACAATGTAAATATCATTAATCATGTATTATATCAATCTTTCTAAATATTTTTGTTTATTTAGCTTTGCTGTTTAATAATGAATCCTGATAACAATCTTCAATTAAGTTATTTTATACAAAATGAAATAAAACAAACGCTCCCGTGGGGTAAAGCGGGAGCACCTTATCCTGCTGTATGTGTATTTTATTAAGTTAATTGACGAATGTATAGATATAATATTGTTTCATGTTTAGTGCTTTTCAAGTTTATTATTAAAATTTATTGATTCATTTCGTCCAACTGCACAGCTTGTCTCAATCAATGGTACTGTTTCTTTGGTTAATGCTTGTAATAGTGTGGTTTTAAGTATTATACATATTTCATAGGCCGAGATATTCTATATCCTGTTGTCGGATATTCGAATTATGCATCGATATTATGGCGCGTTCATTATATGAAATTAAAATTTCATCATACAGCTCCGCTGCCATTTGATCGCCCTCATGTTCAAGCACAAACAGAATTATTTCGTTATGTTATTAAACAATTGAATTCTCGTGAATTAACATTTAGTTTAGTAGGAATTAATAGAGCTGTACGTTCTTCTACTCTATTCTCTTCTAGTTTGTTTATTGTCATTGTTGCTTTATTTATTATAGGCAAAACAGCGTTTACCAGTTATAGAAGAATGTATAGCTGATCTACTCTTGTGGAATATGTATGAAACAAATAAAATTCAAGAATTCGACGGTATTCTTTACTATCCTTATCTTTTTTAAAAGAAATATTCATTGTTATCATTGTTTATACTATTTTCAGCTCAATTACATTTATGGACGGTTACATCTACAATTGTACTTGTTTATATTCAAAACAGTTGTGCTACATTAAGTGGTATTCTGAATATAATTAATAGCAAGGTAAGAAAAAATCCAGGATTAAAACGATGAAACAAGTTTTGTTTTCTGTTAAACATTTAGGTACCATCTCCACCACCGCTTATAGGCTATGGACGTCATTGGTTAATGTGGCTCATTAGTCAACTTCTTTGGCATGTTATTAACAAAGCACATAGAGTATATTTAACACATAGTCTCTACTTTATTTTACCTTCTTATATAATTTTTTTATTCTATGTAGAATACGTGGCCAGATTTTTTAATATTGACTGATGTCATTCGAGCACTTTATCCCGACAATCAGCCAATATTGGAACCCGATTATCGTGAATTTATTTCTGTTGTCATTATTGCAGCAGCATCTAACTGGTATTTTATAATGACAAAAATTGTTCCATCTTTGACGACATTTCCTCAACCATCACAAATACCCACTCAAACTCCAATTGCTCTACATCAACATGTTGAAGCTTTAAAGTCATTTGAAGACCGAAAACCAGTCGTTGTCGAAGATTATCGATTTTATATCGCATGGAATGTGGCTGATCAAAGTCAATATTCAACATTTATTGATATTTTATTTAAATCCTACTTTCTTAATTCTCAATTATCAACTCCGACGAATCATATGGGTTATAACTTGTATGGGCCATCTGAAGCAGTACCATTATTATCATTGGATGCAATGTCTGCACATATTCGAAATGCTATTGCACGACATTACTATAATGAAATTCTAATTAAAAATTTATGGAATCAAGCTCAATGGCCATTTATCTCACCTGGTGGAATCGAATCGTTTGCACGTCTTTTGTCTTACACTGAAGTTGAATCAGATAGAATCAAAGATATTGGTAAGTGATATATTATTCTACGATCATAAAATATTTTTAATTCTTTTCACCTTTTTAGTTAATAATATGGGAGTAATGATACAAAAATCTTGGTATTCAGCTATCCACTTATTTGCTGAAATATTTAATTTTCGTTTAAATCGTATTCCGGCTGCAACACGTGTTCAATTACTACAAACATTCTCAGCTGTATTAACCACGCCACAAATAGCTGGTCATCCACAAGTCTATTGTTCGTAAGTGTGTGTGTGAATGCTATTTCTTAAAAATATCTTTACAGTTATTTTTATGCACTTTATTTAGAGTACAAAATTTATTGTTAAATCTTCTACTACAATTTAATAGTAACGATTTATATAATCAAGTACCAAAATTGTTGGAGTCTAAAACATTAACATATGCATTCAAGGAAGCGGAAGAAATAAATAAAGTTTATATACTGTGTATTGCACGTTCATTCATTGTCACAGGTATAAAATTTGAGAAATGTTTGTCTGATATTCTGGATGGATCACCATCTATTCAAATGTATATTTAGAAGTTTCGAAACATTTCAAACTTTGCCTTTAGGTTGTGATTCATTGCCTGTTCCATGGTGTACTGAAGTTTTAAATAATATAATGACTGTGACACCGCATGGATGGTCATCAACAGCCTTGGATTCAATGCCATCATTTATGGCTGATTGGTATCGTGCACATAGTGCACCCGACAATTATCGCGATATTCGAAGTCGTGTTGATGAAGATTATAAAAAACTAACAAGTATTTATATTTTTCATGTGTTTTAGTGAGCAAATTAAGTGATTTTTTTTTATAGGCTCAACAAATCTAGCGAATGAACAAGAAATTGTCAAATATTTTAGTCAACAAAATAATCCAACGTGTTTTTGGTATGTGGATCATTACTGTGATTTCTTTCTATTTGACTGAGTTTGTTCTTTATTCTGTAGTGTATTTCTCAAACTCATTATTGAAGATCGTCAATTGCGTCCATATGTAAACACTTTTTACGAGTAAGTGATCTATATATTTAAAATTTATAGTATCATATTCTTCTCTTTCAAGAATATTTAAAAATTTAACAACTCGTCCAATGAATGCACATTATCGAACATTAGCTGAATATATTATACGCGAAATAACATTACAACAAAATCATAGTCAAACATTTATGCAGAAGGTAACCAAAAAAAAAAAATTTTATCTCTAGCAGCTGTACGATTTTTTTTCTTTTGTTTTTTATTGTTTAGTATGCTGATGCTGTAATACAGATGGCTGTAAAACATAATATAATTCAATTAGACAGATTATTACTCATATTGGTATTTATAGTCGAACAATATTGACAAAAAATCTAAGTTTTACTCTTGAATTTTTAGATTCTTCGACCGTTAGGTGAACGTGAAGCACCTTATTTACATGTATTATTGTATTTTATGATGAACAATGGATTTTTACATGATACAGCAAAAGAGTTTAGTAATGTTGCAAGAAATGTAGGTCAAATTGTATTTAAGTTATAGTCCGATCTGTAGCACTCTAATGGATTAAAATTTATAGAAAACATGCTCGTAGCCGAGCAGTCGAGAGACCGAACAGTATACGGCACTTCACCTCTACTGAGAAAACGCCTATGGGAAAATCTAAGATGGATAAAACTGAGAAGTGGAAAACCGTTTTGAAGAGTAAAAAATCGAGCGACGTGTCGGATAGAAGGGCATCTCGATGCTGCACATTAAGATTTCTCTAACATTCTAGAATTATTCTAATTCTTTTATTCTAGATAACTGGTGAATTGTGGAACATGAAAAATTTTCATGAAAAGT